TGGCTGATTTTTTTTTATGATTATTGCATAATAATCTGCTCATGACAACCTCAGTTATGCTGACATTTTTGCTTCAGTGACTGTTAAATTAATTTCCTCCCCTCCTTCCCACCCCTTTTTTCTTCTTCTTTTTTTAAGGCTTGATGAGTCGCTTTGGCAAAGTCTTGATCTTGCAGGTAAAAATCTTTTGCCAGGAGTGATTGGCCAATTGTTGCCCTTGGGAGTGATCGCTTTCCGCTGTCCAAGGTCCTGCATCGCGACACCTTTGTTTAAAACAAGCAGGTAAATGCCGCAGTAAAATGAGATGATACCCTTTAATTTTGCAGTTTTGTTCCTGCCTGTCTACTAATACGCTGTTGTACGTTTGGCAAAAAGAAAGAAACACTTTTCAAGGGAACTGGGAAATTTGGTCAGCTGACCTAGACTTTGGCACCAGACATCGGTGCAGTGGCATGTGTGAATAGACAATCTTTTTTGGCTGAGAGCAAAAAATGTTCACTCTGGTAGAGTTGTCTGCTGAAAAGACAACAACCTGTTGTGATGGGCGTGTTTAGGCACACACACACACACACACACGCACGCACACAAACATTGATGCTATAGACCAGTGATAATCTTTTCCGGACTGAGTGCCCCAAATGCAATGCATGCCTGAACCCCCCAAAACGCAATGCATGTGCAGCAGAGACCCAACAACTAATTGGTCAGTGGAAGGCCAGTGCGCATGTGTGGTGGAGCTGAATTGGTGCGATGGCTCATGTGTCCACAGAGAGGGTTCTGCGTGCCACCTGTGGCACGCATACCATAGGTTCTCCATCACAGCTATAGACATTTTGGACCGTCTAGCTTTCATATATACAGCGCATCCTGAATTTATGACCATAATTGGACACAGAATTATGGTTGTAAATCATTGCAGTCATAAGTTGGGGCACCCATTGACTAGAAGTAATTTTCTGGTTTTTTTTCCCCATGGTGGACATTTACAAAAATGTCTCAGTTGTTAAGTGGACAGATGGTCATTAAGTGAAACCATTCATTTGAATAGGTGTTTTTGTTGGCAACTGGAAAGAAACATTGCGAAGCACAGTCGTGTGATTATGGAACTTAAAGCGGACTCCCCTGATATGCAATCACATGACAGAGAGAGGGTGGAGCAACTATTTATGACAGCTGGGAGGGAGGCTCTTTAAAAGCCATAAAGCACCCATTCTCTCACCATCGTAACTTTGAACTGTCATAGAATGACTGATCATTAAGTGAGGACTGCCTGTAATTGGTTTTTATTAAAATAACCATTTTAAAAAGTCAGGTTTGGGGTCACCCTGGGGTCTGGATAGCTTGTTGACTTCTACTTGGATGATATGTGTTGGGCTTCATTATGGAATCTCAATTCAGATCACAACTTGCTATATAGTTTGAGAAAATGATTGGCTGAATCCCTTCCTTCCTTCCTTCCTTCCTTCCTTCCTTCCTTCCTTCCTTCCTTTCCGTCCAAAAATAATGAGTATAAGTTTTATCTTCCTAGAGTTCGTTTCATCATAGCCTTAAAAAATGTCTTGACCAAAGTCTCTGTACAACAGTAAATTGTCTTCCTATCTGGACTGTAGATTCTCACAGATGGTTTCATTGGTTTCTTTCCACATTGCAAAAAAACTGGATTAGTCCTCAAATTACAATCATTCTTTAAATGGCTAAAGTTAACGGTACCGGAAAAACATACGGCCAGTTTTCACGCTTATTATCAGTGCAGCATCCCTACAGTCACATGATTAAATGTTGAGAGCTTAACAACCAGCATGTATTTACAATGGTTGCAGTGTCTCGGGGTCCTGGGGTTGTCCTTTGTAATTCTAAGGCAGGGGTCTCCAACCTTGGCAACTTTTAAGACTTATGGACTTCAACGGCTGAGGAATTCTGGGAGTTGAAGTCCACAAGTCTTAAAGTTGCCAAAGTGGGAGACCCCTGTTCTAAGGAATTTATGACAAGCAAAGTTAATCTGGGAAGCCAGAGTCACTTGATGTGCAAATGATTCACTTAACAACTGCAGTGATTCTCTTAACAACCATGGCAAAAAGGTTGCAAGGTCACAACTCACTTAACTGTTGCTTTGCTTAGCAATGGAAATTTTGGGCTGAATTGCACTGGTACCTTGAGGACCACCTGTCCATTATTGTTGTGGTTTCCTTAAACTATATAATTCAACAATTCTATGATTTTGCTAATACTGTTTTTTTTTTTTTAAGAATTGTATTCCACTGCTTTCCTCACACTCTTGCTTGTTTCTTCTTTTTAGGGCTCTTTGTGTGCAACATCTGGATTTATCGAATTGTACAATAAATGTTATAGATCTCGTAGCTATCCTTGACAGATGCCAGAGTCTGCAGAACCTCAGCTTAGAAGGTCTCCTACTTTCTTCTGGTATAGTTAGGTGAGCAATTAAGAGTGTGTTAATTTTTGATGCTGCCTTCAGGAAGAGAAAGTCGTAACAAATCCTTGACAAAGTCCTTACCCGGTTCACACACCTGGAGTTCATGTGTTGGTGGATCCTCATTGTTTTGATTGCTACGATTGTATTTCTATGGGCTA